GCTAGGGAGATAAATATAAGATTTAATAGATGATTTATAATTATTTTCAGATCATAAAATTTGATTTCAATTATTTTTAAGACCTCGGTTATGCTTCTAGTACTCAAGGATGTTCTGATTCATTATAAATGTTTATGACCTAATTGACATCTTTTGGAAACCTCTTACAAAGTTTCAAGCCTGTATTTTAAGTCTTGGGCTATCCCTGGGCTTCATTCCTTTCCAGAGCCCTCCCTTCTCCTGGAACTGGCTCCTAATCTTTTCAATTTACCCATCACATTAACCACTCCTTTTTCCATTGTATACTTGGATTGTAAGGGAAGTGGCATAAACTATAAATGTGATTTTCTCTTTAAATAAAAATTAACGGTTAAAATGGTTTGCACTTTTTTTGGGAATAGTAAGGTAATTAAAGTTTACATGAACTAATTAGTTTCAGGTCATAAAATGAAAGTACCTAGCATAGAATTTGTAAATCAGCCATGTTTAAATTTTGTTAAGTCAATGCCAGCTTTTATCTTCTGACAGTATCATTTACTGAATGGCTTCACTGAATGTGCATGTGAATAAGAGTATAAGAGAGACTAAGGGAATATACAATCAGAGGTAAAATTGAATAAATGCCCATTGTTAACAGTGCAATTTAGAACTGTGGTCCACTAGCTGAAAGCTTTTTCTTTTATTAAATGATTGAACTGGTCTTCTAATCTAATTTTTTAAATGTCCAATTATTGTGACTAAATGTAATTCTAAATACATTCTCGAGATAATATCAGTACAGATAAAAAGATTTGATTAAACAACATCAGAAAATAATAATAAATTCTCTTACAAGCATTGCAAATTGATGGCAAACTAAGCAACTTCTCAAAATCAAATTATGTGTGCTTTGTGTGTATGTGTTTTGTACATAATAATCAGTTCAACAACCCTAAAACTTCATAGAAAAACACATCATAATCCATCAGCCAGATGGAATATGATAGTTACCACTATCTGTATCAAAATAACAGTTATTTAACCTATAAAACTAATTTTATTTCTAATTTTATCTCAAACTACCACTGATATGATTCTCTACTTTTTAGAATTGTAAGCTATTATTATCACTATTGTTAAAGGTTTCAGCAATAAGACCTCATTGTTGGTATAATAAAATAAAATTAAATACATTAAGAGGAGAGAAAAGGGAAGAATGTTTATTATTATTTGGAGTACTATAATATATATTCAATGGCTTTATTCTAGATGTACTCTTAAGTGGTTGAAACTGAAGTAAAAATTGAATAATGATAAAGTTCCAAATATAAGTGAAATAGATTTCTAAGACATAAAAATTCATTGTATTGAGCTTAATAAGAATTTACAGAAAAGAGCTGAAAATATGTGTCTGCATTCTGGTTAGTTCCAGTTTATTTAAGATTGTGGACTTTATATATTTGTATTTAAAAAGATGAATGTAGGGGCGCCTCTGCCTTCGGCTCAGGTCATGATCCCAGGGTCCTGGGATCGAGCCCCACATGGGGCTCCCTGCTCAGCAGGGAGCCTGCTTCCTCCTCTCTCTCTGCTTTCCTCTCTGCCTACTTGCGATCTCTGTCAAATAAATAAATAAAATCTTAAAAAAAAAAGACTTACATATCTGTTTAAAAAAAAAAGAAGAAGAAGGTAACACTGGCAAACAAAAAACAATTTGAGATAGATTTACATGAGAAAAAGTCATGAGATGAACAGGGAGTCAGGAATGTCATCTGAAGGTCAAATAAAAGCAGTCAACAATACTAATAGAAACTGGACCAACAAAGATTTGATAATAAGGAACAAGATATATAATTCTATATGCAGAGATCCTTCGAGTTGTGGAAAAATTCACTGTTTATATTTTTCTTTGAGAAGCTATCTTGATTAAACTCCTGATAGAAAACATGATCTGTTCATTTCAGCTTCTCAAGTAAATGCAAATGCCTGAGTAATGTTTCTTTTTCCACACCTGCTTTTTCAATGGGCAAAATAGACCCTGGATTGGATGCATTCCCAACTGGTAGAAGTTAAACATTTTTTCCATGTATTCTGGAAGGTTTCTCTGCAGACGATTTATTTAAAATGTACAAATGAGACACTAAACACTTTGTGCCTGCCTGAGATAGAATTTTAAAGCAATTTTCCGTATTCTTTTCTCTCCCTCTTTCATCTATCCTCCCTTTTCTCTATATCGGCTTTGCTGCTCTTTGTGTTGGGAAAAATCATAATTGTGGAACTGAACTATTATGAAGGCTTATTTTAAATCAGTGCTTGGGAAGTAAATTAGCCTCTATTCCCACACAGTTATAATGTCAGTAAATGAGAGTTTCCAGTTATGGTGCAGGAAATTAAAGCAAGGATGGCCAAAGCTTGAACAGTCACAAGAGACTTACATATTATTGATTCTAAGGCAAGATAGATTCGTACTACCAAGGAAATGACATCTGTTTCAAAATAAATGATTAAAACACAAAGCAAACAAGTTTGAGTCAGTTTAGTGACAGGAAAATTTGCAAATATCTAAAAAGAAATGAAACACATAAAAGTAGAAGCAATTCAGGGGCTTCAAGAGAGCAAAATGAAATTACTTAAGAACAGTATTTGAATACTAGTAGGTCACAAATAACTGTATCACTCAATTTTAATATCTTAGAGGGGATATACTAATTAAAACGTAAAATCCTATGACCTAAGGAGAATGACGGCTAGTGGGTTTCTGTTTAAGGGATAAAAATGTTTTAAAATGAGATGGTGGTGATGTGTGCAGAACACTGTGTACTAAAAACTACAGCAGCATACACTTTAAAAGAGTGAATTTTATGGTATGTGAATTATATTAATACAGGTGTTATTTTTAAAAAAAAATCTTATCTACCTAATTTCCCTTCACCTAAGAGGTCTTTGGAGGCAAGCTCTTTTAATGCTTTTATCTAATCCTAATTTGTTCCATAGTTGTCACTGGGATCCACAAAATGAACTCCGATTTGACCACATTTCATAAAGGTTGGATTAAAAAACAATTGCTAATAGTTACGTTTAGACAAATAGCCTTTTACAGCCTTTCTTGCACTCAAGAGAGAAAAATTCAACAGAAGTAAGATGGTCTTCTTTCAACTGTATTGTCGGTGCCTTTGAACCGACACGTATTCTACTTTATGCTCCCAATAATGCTTCTGCTTGTCTTCCCTCCTCATGAATCCTCTCTCAGGGGAAGTGAGCTGCTTGATTGCCAGCATATTCAGGCTGCTGATGGCTGGTGAAAAGTCATGAAATTTGGCTTATTAACTTCTGTACAGATTGATGTTATCTAACCTCATCTGAGACTTCAGTGCTGCTTGGAAATCTTTTTATTAATGTCTAATTGGCTCCTTAGCCCATTTTCCATAGCGCTCATTTCAAGACTTTTCAAATGTCCTGTCCTCTCAACGTGACCTCACCTGTTCACTCAGCAAGTCCGCTTCTTCGACTTGATGGGAAAGTTGTTCCACGTTGAAATTCATCTTATCTGTTCTTTCCTTCACACTCATCTTAGAAGAGAGGGGTCATTTTACTTTTCCAAAAACATTCCTAGTCTACTGGAAATGAATCTGATCTTTTTTATCACACATCTGCCACTATCTAGCTCTGTAACCATGGGCAAGGCAATTAATTTACCTGGTCCTTGATTATTTTCATTTGTAAAATTAATAACGAGGCGTATTGCAAAGCCAACTCCTGTATTAAATCAAGGTTTTCTTAATCTTATGTATAATCTTATGCTTTTCTATCCCTCTAGGACCTTCCCTTTCATTCAGCCTCTCTATATATTAAATACAAATAAGGCATACACATGTTCCCTCTATTAATCTCCTCCTATGAAATGCAGTCTTCCCACCCCTAGACATTCTTTGGACTTCATTTTGAAAAATTCTTCTTCATTTCTGTAACCACAAGTTAATCTTTTCACTATTTCTCAAACATTTTCAGGCTACAGGTAATACTCTAAGACTCTACTTTCTTGCTATTGACATATCTCTTCAAACCTTCCAGTCTGGCTTTTGCTTCCAGCATTGTCAAAATAATTGTTGCAAAGGACAAATAATTTTTCCTCAGTGCTTATTCTCTTGAATTATCTTTGCTATAGAACACCCCAGGTGGTGTTCTGAAACACCATCTTGAAACGATCTTTTCATTCTCTTTTAAGGCTTTTCACTCTCTTTTAAGGTTCTTTTAAAGGCTCTCATTCTCGTTTAAGGCTTTTGTCTTTATTTTTATTTTCCCACCTCAAACTATGTCCTAAATGAGGGTATTCATTGGAGCTCTCTCTTGGTCTTCTTTCTGATCTTTTTCTTTTGAAACTTTCATTCATTCTCAGGATGCCAACTGTTACACTGATGTCGATTACAAACATATTTTTCACTGAATTCCTTTCCAGGACATGTATGTCTCACCAATTTGAGTGTCTACTGAAAATAACATTCATCACTACAACCTAATACCCACCTAGGGAAAAAAAAGGGGGGGAGGGGAATAACAAGCTGCCCCTGCTCCTATTGTATCTCTTTCTGTTAATGACATAAATTTCTATCCAGTGACTAGAACTGACAGGTCAGGAAGAAGAGAAGCCATTAATATCAGGGACTATGCTGTCCTCTGAATACACATCTTCTGACATAGCTAGTTCTTCATTTGACAAATGTCCCAGTGCTCTGAAAGACATTAAAGCATTCATCTTCGTATAATTACTCAAGGCTCTGATGTAGCTGTGGGAAAATTAAGCTGTTTTAAACAGCATCCTACTGAATCTCGGGATTTTTTTTTCTCTTTCTGTATCATAACAAAAGTACAACCTTGAATTGAATTACCCCCATTTGCTTCTCCAGTTCTATCATTTATTGCTGTGAGGTGATATAGAGACGTTAGCTTCCAAGAAAATCCAAAGCATGTATTTCAACTAGATTTCCAAAGAGAGGGGGGAAAAAGGAAAGAAATGATAAACTCACACTTTATCTGTTCCGTAACTCCTATAGTCCACCGCTGCTGACACAGCCACGATGAGCGCCGGCATCCCGTAGCCGACCAGGTAGAAATATTTCCTCCGTGAGTGCTCACTCTCGAAAACCTCCACCAGCATGATGTAGAGCTGCACTCCCTCCAGGAACATCCAGGTGAAGGCGGCCAGGAAGAAGAAATGTAAGAGGGCAGCGAAAACGGCACAGGCAATCTAGGGAAGGGAACAAAGCACTCGAGTAAGGACGGAACGAAATCTACCATAACATCAAAATAAACATTTAGCAACACTGCTTTAGTAACACAAGAGGTCTACAAAAGAATAATCTAGACAAGATTCTGAAAATTCCGCTGTTAAAACCTAAATATAACCGATCCTTCATAACCAGATTTAACATTTTTGGTAATAATGGCTTACAGATGACAGCACAGGATGATAATAAGGAAATAGTATTAAATAATTTAGGAAAAACATCTAATAAGAGCCTATTATTGATAATTATTACTGAGATTAGTCTAAAGTTTTAAAAATAACATCTCATGCATTATTTTTCTTGGCCATGATCATGTGTGTTCTATCACTAAGTTCTCCAATTGTAAATGAAAAAGAAACATTAAAACCAAGGAGAATAAAAGCTCTTAAAGTTAAAAATTATAATTACAGTATTTTGTGATGGGATCATTACTTTGCTATCATTATTTGCTGGTTTATTTCTTCTCTGCTTGGTTTCAGGAAGGATTTAAAGTGACATTGGGAAGTTAATGCTGCAAAGTGTAAAAGCAGGTCTGGCTAAAATAAAATAAAATAAAATGTTCCAGAGTGCTTGCTTTCTCTCATTTTCCTTTATTGTAAGAAATGTTGGGCTAGACAAGCTTGGTCAAAAAAGACAGCTAGTCCTTATTTTGGCATATTCTCTAAGGCCCTACAAGTTTCATCTGAACATGTATTGATTTTCTTATGTCAGTTCTGAAATTTTCACTCCTTGGGGAAGTGGAGGTCTTTATTTTTTATTTAAGAAATCCTAAGGGTGCATGGGTGGAGCAGTCAGGCCTCTGGCTCTTGGTTTCGGCTCAGGTCGTGGTCTTGGGGGTCATGGGATCAATCTGGTGGGGCTCTACGCTAACCATGGAGTCTACCTGGGATTTTCTCTCCCTCTCCCTCTTCCTCTACCTGCCCCCCTCTTTCTCTTTCTCTCTCTCAAATAAATAAATACGTCTTAAGAAAGAAAGAAATCCTAACTAAAATATATATCTCCTACTAGAAAAGGGCAAAAAATTTATAGACATTATCAGATTATAATGGATTCAATGATGAGCATATGATCTTTGAGATAGGGACAAAGGGCAGGTCAGTTTCATTGAGTCAGAGAGATGACATTGAAGGGAGATGAAGACATCCCATATCAGCAGGCTAGAGAGAAAGCACAGCCCAATCACCACCTAAGAGTCAGGAAGAGGACACCTATTCAGGAACAAGAAGACAAACTGAGCTAAGACCCGCTCTACTCCAACTTTTCATAACAATCTTTGCTTTCTATGCTACTTGTCGTAAGTTAGTTCTGTACAGTATACAACATGTGGTGAAGTTTATCATACCATATGTATATCCGGAAACAAAAGAATAAGGTTTCTAAATGAAAAGAAATCACACAACATTTGAATTGCAGGTTAACAAGAGAATGAAATGATTTCTTCTTGGAAAATAACACAGTTTCCATTCCTTGCTTTTTAGAGTTAGAACCTCAACTATTAATTTTTGTTATCAGAAGACTTTACTTTTTTGGGAAAAGAAATATACTCTTTGATTGCTTATTCATATGTATGCATTTATGGGAAAAGCTGTCACATTTGTATAGGATACCAATTAAAAGTATAATCACCATAATTGTACCCTTTACAGCCATTAATCCTGAATGTGTAATCACCAACATGAATCCAACTGCATTTTTATTGTAAAGTACTCCATACTTATGGACACATACCAGAGAACAGCATTAAGTGAATGAATTATTTACTATGCCTACACATCTTCTAAAAAAACGTAAGTTTTCTTTTCAATTACAGTTTTGATCGTGAGACCAAACATGTACTGTGAATCTTAAGTAAATAGAATGGGCCTCACAAAAAGTGTAAGTAGGCATAGTCTGTTGAGTAATTAGATACTGTTATTTGTATTTTCTGTTTGGTTTTACCAAAAGTTGGCTAGTGCTACTCCTTTTCCCCCCTTTCTTTCCCTACTTCCTTCCTTTCCTCCTCTTCCTTATTTTCTCACATGACTAAATATAGTTTGTAATAAATTACAAAGCTGACATTAACGATGTCAATAGAACTTGTGCAAATACAATGTGTCAAACAAAATTTGGGAAGAGTTCATAAATTCTGAAATGTCCTATAGTCTGAACTATTTTCCAAATATGTCCATTAGAAAAACTCATTTTAGGCATGAAGTTTTAAATATGATATAAACTTTTTTTGTTTTGTTTTGTTTTGTTTTGAAGTATATGATCGGGCCGCCTACCTTGCTAAGTCAGAAAAGCCTGCAACTCTTGATCTTGGGATCGTGGGTTTGAGCCCCACTTTGGGTATAGAGATTACTAAAAAAAAAATAAACTTTGAAAAAAGTTTGTGATAAAGTTTGAAAAATAACAATTATATCTATTAGGAAAGATACTCTTCTATTCCCCAAATGATTTTACTGAAATTTCCCCCATATTCTACTCTGATAAGAACAAAGCAAATCATGGGACACCTGGGTGGCTCAGTTGGTTAAGCATCTGCCTTTGGCTCAGTCATGATCGCAGGCTTCTGCGATAGAGCCCTGCATTGGGTTCTCAGCTCAGTGGGGAGCCTGCTTTTCCCGTTCCCTCTGCGGTGCGCTCTCTCTCTCTCTCTCAAATAAATAAATAAAATCTTAAAAAATAAAGAAGCAAAACAACACAAAAACACACATACACAAGCTAATGAGGAGACATAATTCTTGAGAAAGGCAAGGTAATGAACAGAATTTCTCAAGAAATGTACAGCCATATGTCCTAACATTTGTTGCTTCTTTACAACAATGGAGTAAAAAAAGCGGGGGGGGTTGGGGGGGAACTGAACCAGATCTGAAAATTTATAACTATCGCAGACAACTGGAAGAGAGGTTCCATTCAAACAAGAATATTTTGAGTACTGGAAAGCTGGAAAAATGGAGACATTCTTTCCTAATATCAGTGTAGGTTGCTTACGGGTTGGTCGGTTCGGTTGATCCCAATCAGGAAGAGAAGTTCAGCTACAAAAAGGCTGATGCAGAGGTTCTTGTGGATGGTATTGCGGTCACTCTGGAGCCCGCGGAAAAAGCAAAATGTGAAGATGCAAATCAGGAGACAAACAAGGGACAGCAAAATTCCAACCCACGTGATCACATCCAGAAGAAGGTCATGGACCGCATCACTGTGCTGGAAAGACAACAGAAAAGCCATAAGTTGCAATTATGCATAAAAGATCATGAAGTCGTACGAGGACCTGGATTCATGATGCACGGTTTCATAATGTACTAGGCACACGCAGTGAATAAGATAACTTAATTATTCGGGTTTTCTAGTCCACAGGTAAAGCATTTAATATTCTCTGTGAGGTGTCAATCAGTTTGATACTCAGGGATGACAATGGTGTTTGCACTCCTCTTAGTTACATGTATTTTGAGGATACAAATAGTTGAAGCAAGTCAACATAATTCTGGCCTATGATTTCAGGGAAAAGCTGTATTTTTTCAACTTGTATCACTTTTATAGGTTTTTTGTTTTTTTTTTTTTTAACACCCCCACTACGGAATACTATTTAAAAAACTAAGTTATACACTTAGGGAAGTGGTGTCTCAACTGAAATGCTTTCTAAATCACCAAGGGACTTTTTAATAAAAAAAAAAAAAAAATTCTTCTGTCATTTAAGCTCTTTATCAAGATTTCCAAGTTTGAGTTCATAAAAGTATGCATTTTTGTAAAGATTCTCAGTTAATTCTGGTGAACAGCCACATGCACATACCATTTATTTAGTGGAAGATCTAAAAGAATGAGGATATTCACTGGATTTATATTCATATTGAATGGCTTAAGGAGATCAAGAAGTTTGATCCTTAAAGGGTTTTGCATGAAAAGAGCCTGTTATATACAGATGGAAAATAAGCATTCAGTATTACTATCTCTAGTAGCAGCATAAAACAGGGCTAAGAAAAAGAAGTTCATAAAAAGCTTCTGTACTAAAACTACATTTTTTGGGGGGGGGGGCTCTATTAAAATAGTCCTGTGGGATCCATTCTTTTGATGTTCCTTTGTTCTGTGTACTATCTCATTTCTGTCCTTCTTCTAAGATTCCAAACTCTATTCCCTCTCCATGGTAGTTTGCCTCCACCCAAAACCACTTCTGTGAAGCATTAGAATTTAGGGTGGCCCAACATATCAGTATGCCAAGATGGTGGAGCAGAGTGGAGAAAATTGTCTATGACCGTCAACACTTCTTTTCTTTGTAGTTGCTTAAAAAGCCCTTAAGACCTAATTTCCATAAGTAGGGGAACAAATAAATAATAGTTAATTTATAGAAATGATATTTTGAAGAGTAATAGAAAATCAGTGTTCTAAATTTATAGTCACAAACAGGGATACTTCTCAAAACCTAAGGCCCACATTGGGCTCTCTGCCTGCCTCTCTGCCTACTTGTGATCTCCCTCTCTCTGTCAAATAAATAAAAAAAAAAAATCTTTAAAAAATAAAAAAAAATAAAATAAAAATTTAAGTGACAAAAGAATCTATACGGTATAATGCCACTTATACAAAATTTTTAAAAAACAAAAAAAAATGACATTGATATTTATGGATATATACTGAAGTAGTTAAAGTGTGGTATCAGCATGGGGAATTTTTTGTTGAAAACAAAGCAATACGTTTCTAATTGACATCTTTTTCAACTGTGTAGATCATACACACCGATTTTTATTTTAAGATGGAAGTCACTACATTTAGTTGTCTTCCACACTGCTAGCTCACTTCAAAAATACTAAATAACCAGGTTTTCTGATGTTGTTTGTTTTTATTCAAACTTCATACTTTTCTGTTATATACAAACCTCATACAAAGATTATTTTGAATATGGAAATTCTCCCAAGCCAGTCACTATGCTATAACCTAAATCACAGCTCTTCTCAGGTCACCAGTTAAGACTTCACAGTTATTTGATAAAGAACTCTGCTAGAACACTGTCAGTGAAACAGTTCTGAAATATTCCTGCATAACTCTAGATATATTTCCCGGAAGGAGCTCAAATCATGAGAGAAAACTACATGAAATTTTGCTATAACTGCTTTGTTCTCCAGGGGACACTACTAAGTAGTGTTGGGTCTCAGATAGCTTAAATTACTTCTACTGTTTGAGAGTGGAGAGTGGTTAGTGCTACCTAGCTCCCTGAACAGAGGGTTATTTGCTCTCTTCTTTGACTCAAAGGAAAGATGCTGTGATTGAGTAACAAGCGCCAATGTTCAGCACAGCAGTCTTCTGTAATGGGAAAAGTGGCAGGTATAATACATTCTCAAATGTATCCTAAAGACCTAAAACACTAACAAAAAAAAAAAAAAAAAAAAAGAGAGAGAGAGAGAGAGAGAAAAGAAAAGAAGGAAGAAACCAAAAAACTCCTGCCTTTGTCTGGGTAGTTACATTATTAGAAATGTATTTACTTTTACTCAGTGCCTTCGTAAGTCCTTCAAAAACCCCATGCAGAGTCATTAAGAGAAGAATACCAGATGTCAAAACATCAGTACAAAAAGTACATTACACTCAAAGACAGAATAAAAAAGTCTAGTGATTAATTCACTTTTCAGGTATCACTGTCTAGCTCAGAAAACATCAACACCAACCACCTTGTGTATACTATACTGAGATAGCGGCACCCTTCAAATATAACTCACCACTTGAATTTCATAAATAAGATGAAAGATAAAGAACAATGGATATTAAATCCCAATAAGAGCTTTGAGAATAGCCCTCTTTATAACAGTGCGCCATAACAGAACTTCCAGGAGGCCAAGCCATGAAAAAAACCAAACCAAACCAAACAAACAAACAAACAAATGCCTTCAAGAGGATGGTCAGTTGAATAAAACTCTTAGGTACTATTGTAACAATGTGATAAATACTCTTATTTCCAAAGTTCTACATTTCTAAGTACTATATTACTCAATCACCTATAATATGTACTATATACCATTATGTGCCTTATTAATTTTATATATTATTACTGTTATATCCCAGCACCTAGTACTGGGCTTGACACACAAAAATGCTTAAGAAATACTTGCTTTTGAGTGATGGTACTAATCCCCTCTGCCTAGAACTTAGCCTTAGAGCTGAATCCTCTACGTCAGTAGAGCTCTGCATCCATTTAATCTCCACTGGATGTTTAAAAAGTTCTCAAATATTACATGTCCAAAACTGAGCCCCTTATCATATCCTGTTTCTCTCTCCACTATCCAAAAAAATTTCTCTTCCCTCTGTTTTCCCATTTCGGTAAACAACAACTTCATTCTTTGAAGTGTTCTTGCCCCAAACTTAGGAGTCATATTGATTCTTCTGTCTCACCAAAATCCATCAGGAAATCTTGGAGGCCCTGTCTTCTAAATCTGGCAGCTGCCCATCACCTCAACTACACCAAACTGGTTGGAGTCGGCCCTTTTTTAAATACCCTCCTAACTGATCTTCCCATTTTGACCCTCGTCTCCTGTCCCTCTATATTCAACAAGATAGAGAAATTCTTTTTAAATATAATTCAGATTATATGACTCATTGATGAAAGACATCCAATGTTTTCCACTTCAATGAAAGTAAAAAAGCTCTTCCCCTATGATCCTCTGCCTTGTTTTTTAAATTCTATACATCAGTGAGATAATATGCTAATTGTCTTTCTCTGATTGACTTAGGATCATAGGGGAAAAGAGGAAAAAAGAAACAAGAGGAAACTGAAGAGGGAGACAAACCCTAAGAGACTATTAATATTGGGAAACAAACTGAGGGTTGATAGAGGTTGATTGAGGATGGGGGAGGGTGGATAGGGTTGCTGGATGATGGACATTGAGGAGGGTATATGTTTTAACTAGCACTGGGTATTACATAAGACTGATGAATCACAGATCTGTATCCCTGAAACAAATAATACATTATATGTTAATAAAAAAAGAAAAAGAAAGTAAAAACCAAAATCTTTCAAGGGTCTACAAGGCATTATAACTTCTGCATATCTGTGACAACATTTCCTATTCTCCCCTTCATTCAGTTCATCCCACCTACTTGGCCTGCTCCATTCTTTGAATATGCCAAAGATGTTCCAGTCTCAAAGGATTTGTCTTTGATGTTCCTTTGGCCTAGAATACTCTTCCAAAAGATAGCTGCATGGCTTACCTGCTACCTTCCTTCAGTCCCTCAATCAAATGTCACCTTTTCACAGAGGGTCCTTCTGAGTCACCATATTTAAAATTTCCCTATTTTTTCCCCTATTTCCCTATTTGTTTTTCCTATTATTTTTCCTGCATTATTTTTCTCATCAGTACTTGTCTACTCTATATATTTTGTTAATATTGCTTTTTGATTGTCTGTATCCCCAACTAGAAAATACATTCCAAGAGAATGAGTTGTTTTATCTCTTCTGATCACCAAGGTATCTGCAGGTCCTACAAAACTGTCTACCACAGAGTGGATGCACAATTAATGTGTTGACTAAATAAACGAATCTCTCTTAAATTATCTCTACATTCTCGAATGGATTTAAATTATAAGCTAAAAGTTATAGCATGCTGTCCATTACACAATTTTGGGGACTCTTGGGTTCTTAAACTACCTGCTCTAAAATCTTAAGTAAAAGATAAAATTAGAGTTGGAGAATAAGAAGTTGTAACACCATAATATCTTAAGATATGTTGAAATGTCAAGGTATTAAGCAACTATGACAATGGAGACCAAACTGTGCATGGAAGAAGACTGTAGGAGTCAATTACAGAGTCTGAAGGTAAGGATTTAACCTTATCAGACCAATTTCACAATTGTATCTTGCATAAACTACTTAACCTTTTGAATATCAAAAGCCTCATACACATAGAGATAAAATAAGGCTTCAGATCTTGTGATAATTAAAATAATATATATGAAAGCAAAAAAAAAGATAATATATATGAAAGTGAGAAAGTCTATGTTCTTTTTTGTTTGTTTTGAGAAATGTGGGATCTTTTACATAATTCTTACACAAGGTCAACATTTCTTATTTCCGTTTGTAATCTGAAAACAGGGGTGCCTGGATGGCTCAGTTGGTTAAATGTCTGCCTTTGGTCAGGTCATGATCTCAGGGTCCTGGGATGGAGCCCCATGTTAGGTTCCTTGCTCAGAGGGGAGTCTGTTTCTACCTCTCCTTCCGCCCCTCCCCA